CAGAGAAAGGATGGAGAGGGAAGATTGCTTCCCCAATTAATCTGCCAGGTTGCCGTGGGTAAGGGGGGCAGTCCCTGTTCACAGCCTCTTTGAGGGCTGGAGGAAAGCCCCCAGCTCCTGGGGTGAGCCCTGAGATGCTTCAAATGCCTCAGGCTCCGCTTTGCCCCTTCCCACACTGCCGGGACGTTGGCCAGGTTTGTCCTCCGCCTTTCCAACCCCACTCGGGCAGAAGATTCAGCCCCAGTCACTGAGTCTGGACGCATCCAATCCTGAGGGACTCACACCGGGATGCCAGCCATGGGCTGGAGCTCCCCTCCCTGTGCTGGCATGGGACGGTGGCATTGCAGGCGCTGGCACGGGGACGGTGGCACGGCTGTGGAGCAGGATGGGGTTTAGCGCTGGCACACGGGAGCACCCAGGCTTGGGGCTGGGTCGCTGCAGCAGCTGAGCTGGGGTTTGCCCCCAGTTTTCCTTGCCCACGTGCGAACCTTACCCAGTGCGTGCCGGGGCTCACCGGGTGCCTGTGCCAGCAACCACTGCAGGCCGAACCCCCGGGGCTCTCCAGCCAGGGCAAGGTCCCCCCACTGCACCGGGAAAAGGGGTAGCGGCGAGCCCAGGACAGAGGCCAAAACCTCCAGCCCCCCTGGCCAATGCTGCAGAATTAAATTTCTCCAGCATTTTGCAGGAGGGAGGAACACCCCGGCCAGGCATTAAGGAAGATTATTCCGAATTTGTTATTTTGGAGCGTGAAAGTCCTTCCTCAGGGATCTGAATCCTGGTTAAATTAGACCATTCCGGGTGGGGAGAAGTGCTCAAATTAATCCCCCCACCCTGTTCATCCCCCCGCCCGGGGAAGAGGCTCGCCAGCTGCCAGGTCTGCGCAATCGGATTAGAGCCTCCCGCGCTGGCGCGGCTCCGTGCTTTCACCTGATGGCAAAAATCTTCCCCGGAAGAGCACAGTGCCACCACCGTGCCCACGAGGGGCGAGCCGGGGGAGCGTTACTGCTTCGGATGGAGACATCGAAGCAGATTAAATGCTGTCAGAAAGGGAAGGGGGAAAACTGCGCCGAGAAGGGGATGGAGGTGGGGACCATTTCCACTCCCAACGCATGGGAGCTGCAAATCCTCTTGCACCTGGGCCACACCAGGGACAAAATGTGGTCCCGTCCCTCCCGAGCCCTCCGCACTCTTCCCAAAAGCAAACCCACAGGAAAGGGGATGGAGGGAGGCACCGAGGAGGGGAAGGAAGATGGGAACCCAGCTGCTGCCCCAGGATGAGGAGGGAGGAGGACGCGGCTAAACTTACTCTTGATGGGCAACTTAGCTCCAAAATAAAAGATGCAAAAAAAAAAAAAAAGGAAATAAAAGAATAAAGCAGGCATTAACAGACCAGGTGGGTTTAAACAGAGGGGAAATGTAAACGTGCATGGGTGACTGCGGAAAGCGTCCTTTGGAAGTCAGAATAAATAAGAAATAAAGCAAATAGAGCAGCTGAAGGGAAGACTAAAGACTATTTTGGTCTCCTCTGAGCACGTGGCTGGGGACCTCTCCCCGCAGCCTGCGCGGGCCATTGGGAACTGGGTTAGCAAGACAGGCAGGAGGGATGCGCTCGCAGATGGGGCACGTCCTCTGCAAGGGCAGGAGGAGGGGGCCAAGCTCACCCGCCCCCATCCCCACCCTGGCAGACCTCGTGGGTGCCCTGGGCGAGCGGCTTTCCGGTGAAGCAGAGGGGCTCCTCGCCCCCCCCGCTAACCGCTCCCTGCCCCCCCAGCCCACGGGGTGTCACAAAAAGGACTTGGCCTCGGCTGTCCACCGTACCGTGGGAGGAGGAGAGCCTCTGCCGATCAGGGGGACGTTCTCATAGCGCGGGTTTCCACCGAAGAGCACGGCTTGGTTCCTGGAGCGGGGAGAGCGCGTCAGAGCAGGGGGCACAGCGAGACCCCCATCGTGGGGTGACGCTCCATCCCCAAGGCGGTGGGACCCAAGGGTCAGTGTCTCCGAGGGAGGGGGTCTCACATGTACTCGGAGACGGGGGCGTTGGAGATGGTCTGCGCCGGGGGGTGCAGGCTGCTCTGGCTGGCC